ACATGATTGTGATGAAAAATGAACAATGTATGAAAAATCAAACAAATTTATTTAATAAAAACAAAATTTACAACCCATAAAATTTTTTTGTTCTAATAAAATTTCCATTGTTGCTGTCATCTGTTGCTGATTCAACATTGCCTGGATCATCATCAACTGTATTTTCATTATTTTCGATAAATTCATTTTCATTTAATATTTTTCATCATACTTTCTTTTAGTGTTGACATTTTTTTTGATTTCAACTTGAAGATATCAAACATTTAGATTGACATCTTTGTAGACAACGATTGTGATAACCATGTCCACACGTGAGTATATACACTACAATTATTCAAATTAGTATAGTTAGTGTAATCACATTATATGTAATTGCAAAAAATGTTTGTAGATGGTTCCTAGAAGTAACAAATTTTTAGTAATTAAAGGATACTGATTGTCTCTGGATGTGAATCTATGATAATCGTCAACATTCAACAAGAATGTATTTTTTGAATATTTTGTAAGTGCATTCTCTACATATTTCTCATGTTCATCAGCAACTTGCTTCTTTTTACGATCTACTGCCCTTGATGTTGTAGTCGAACTTAAAGAGTTAATTTTTGTATTATTTAATGAAACAAGAAGATAACACATGAACATCACCATTAATCCCTTCATATGGTCCATTATTTGTTCATTACGTTCAAATGGCCAAGCTGCTAAATAGAGTTGGTCAAAAAACCCTTTCAAGCTTGGTTCTATTTCTTGGAACAATCTTTGTATTTCATCAAAATTGTATATAGGACCTTGATGGCTTTAGTGAAATCATTCTTTTCACTTACCTCTCTTCCTCTTCCTCTTCCCCTTCCGCATTTGTGATTTTTACTCTCCTAGGTTCTCATTTTCTACAAAATTCATATAACAAATGTTACGTAAAGCAACACGTTGCTTTCACTAAGTTGTTGTTTTCCATTTATTGCCTTTCAGTTGACGAAATTTACCTGATTCAGTGGTTTACATTCTGTGCAATGTTTAATTTCAGACATTTTTTCTTCGAGTAAATTGTATTATGAAAGTTGCGGGATTCAAAGGGATTCAAAAGATATGATAGCAACAAAGTGTAATTACATTCCTTATATAGGACGGTCTCCTGTTTTTATGAATATTCAAAAGTATTACAAATATATGCTAATTAATGTAACATTACTTTATTTTTTTTAGTTTGATAAAGTTTTACATATGTGATAATATACGACATACACATTTAGTTAAAGGTATTATAAAAGAACAAAAAAAAAGTATCCCCAATCAAATGTTTCATTTTGTGTTGAACATATGAATATAAGTGAAGATGAAAATGAAGGTGATTGCAATGATCAATTATCAAGTTTTGGTATATCAAGTGATGAAGATTCCAAGACAAATAATGAACATAGTCAAAGTGATCAGTCAAAAGAACATATTTCCAATAATCTTTTAGGTTATATTAAATCAGTTTCCAACTGGCATACAATTGGATTGAACTAGTTGAAGATGAGGAAATAGACCTTTAGGATAGTGTAAATATATTAGAAAACACAATGCTTGTAGATGAAGACTTGGAATTTGTTGATACCTCTAACATTATACATCCTGCTGATGATATTGAAGCAAAGTGAAAATTACAAGATCTATTTAAAGACCCTCTTGGGCAACCTGCATATTTAACTTTGTTAATAAATGAATAAAAGAGAAATTTGGTTTTAAATGTATTTTGAAATAAAATTAAAAGATTATTTTGTTTTAGCTATTTGATAAAATTCATAAATTAAGTTTAATATGTTATGACATTATGGGCTAATTGGACTTATAATGTCCAATTAGTTTTCTTTTAGCCTTTTGTCCTTATGGTTAATTAGCTTGTGTTCAAAAGGCCAATTGACCGAAAACATTGTCCAGATCTTCCTGTCCATCCTTATCATGATCAATAGTACATAGAGAATCACTTTTTTCATTGTATTTGAGTAATGATTTATAAAATTCCACCACTTTTGGATCAGACATTATTTTACGCTGACTAAAATTTAATACTTGAATGGATTCAAGTGACACTGCTCTAGAGAGTGCCACATATGTCTGACCTATATACGCATGCGTGTGTGTATATTTCAATAAGAAAAAACAATTATTTAAGTATATTAATTGAAAAATTAAAAAATACTATTCTTATAATACGTGATTATAATTACCTTTTTCAAAGACATCCTTCAAATCGACTTTGATCCGTTCAAATGATTGTCCTTGACTTTTATGAATACTGATCGCCCACGAAAGAATAAGTGGTAACTAATAGTTATGATCGTGTTATTATTAGGATACATATATATTTACGCAATAATAAAAACATACTTGATGACGTAAAGCCAGCAATTTTCCGTTTGAATCTTCGACTCTCCATTTAGAAACATAAATAATTTTTTCTACTCCATTCGTAAATTTTACAATTGGTAAAAGAATATCACCGTTAAACGATTCATCCTCACCCGAATAAAATTTCTTGTCTTTCTGCACCGCATAAAACCCAACAACAACACCTTTACTGCCATTTACCAGATTGTCTTTTGGCAAATTTTTAATAAGCATTACTTGCGCACCACGTTTCAATTCTAATGTCTTTTTTGCCATACAATTCTTTTTTAATAATTCTTGCACATCACTACTTGATTTTGAGTCACTGGCCAAGTATTCATATTTTTTGTGTGGGATTTCTTCTAATTTTCGAAGATTAATTTCATCGACGCTTTTATTACACGGATATCTAAGAATATAATAAAGGCGTGGGTAAATACATAATACAATCATGCAAGCATGTAAATATGTAAATTATGTGTAACGATTATAACAATATTAACTGATGTTAAAGTACCATCTTACTTACAATTCAGAAACAGCAATACCATCATCAGGATATACAGGTTCTTTCTCTAGTGATTTCATGATTTTCTTTGTTTCACCTGTCACAGTTCCAAATCTTAACTCATTCAACATGTTAACCAAATCTAAATTTATATATGTAATAATAATTACAGTAAATATTATTATTTGGTTCCTTTTCTTATTATTATTATTATTATCATGACTATAATTACCTTTATCATTTTGTCTGTAAACTTTAGTTAATTCCATAGTATGATTCATACAATCACTCCAAGAATCAGCCTCGAAACAATATTTTGTTTCTTCACCAATTGGCGGTAGTTGACAAAAATCACCTGATAAAACGAGCTAATAACAACAAATATAAATATGTATTACAATTAAGAATATTTACTCTCTCTTTTTCAATCAATCTATCTAATTACCATAATAATGGCATCTGTAATAAAGTTCATACCTGTATTCCACCAAAAGGCTTATCGTTTTTCCTAAGTATTTTTGCAACACTATTCAATTTATCAAATAATTCAGCGTCAAGCATAGAAACTTTTTAAATAATTAATGATAAATAAATACAAATAGATTGATAAGCATAGTCATTAATATTATTAATTAATTGATAATTCGTCAACAACATGTCTCTACCACAAATTATTGTAATCAGGCAGCAAGCAATCATATACTTACTTTCATCAATGATCAGTACTTTAACATTATTCCATCGTGTTGATGCACTTATAGAACCATCAATTTTCCTTACTAATCCATGCACATTATAGTGATCAGGGCAACGCCCAATACCAGTGAATGAATGCAATGTTTTCCCACCTATGTTAATAGCTGCTATGCCAGTTGTAGCTGTCACACCTATAGAATCTTTATCATTACTGATTTTTTCATGTTTCTGTTTAAGTGCTTTAATCAATACTCTTAATAATAAACTTTTGCCAGTACCTTTTTTTTTAATAAGTGGGATTAATAAATAAAAAAGTATTTTTTTTGTAATAGTGATATATCGAAAAAAATAATGATATATTTACCGGCTGCACCTGTAAAGAACACATTTGAATTTTCATGAACTACTAAATCATATATTTTTGTTTGCTCTGATGAAAGTTGCACACGGTCTTTCTAATAAATTCACATGAATATTAACACTAATATGTATTTATAATATTTATATGTGTGGATAAGTATGCGGGATATTTACTTACTTCTTCTAAAAAACTTTGAAGACTCTCTATTTCATTTTTAATAAGCTATTTAATTTGATTTATATTATCATTGTTAGTCAAAAAAAAAAGTAAATATTATCATTCATTTATCTATAAATTTTTTACCAATTGTTTATCAGTAGAAATACTATTCTCTACATGTTCTACAATACTTGACAAATTTCTAGCTGTACGAAAGTATATGGAGAATGTATTTGATGAAAATGTTGATGTTGTTGAAAATGTATTTTTTACTAATTTCAATAATCATAATCATAATAATAATAATAACCATAATAGTTATAAATAATTATAATAAAAGGAATTGTCAGTATATTTTCATCGGTGTCATTATTACATTTTATACACGTGTGTATATATATATATTTACCTTGATTTTTGAAATTATTTAATAATTTTTGCACAAACATTTTATTTATTTATATGATCTTACAACGACTATGAACATTAAGAATTATACCACAGCAATAAAAAGGTAAAGATTTTTTAGGAAATTTAATATCGCGTTCGCGTCCCTTTTATAAAAAAAAATCATATATAGTAATGAAATTCCCAAAATTTCATGCACATCATGCGCATTTTATGCAGTCTGTATATCCAATAAAATAGTGATGACGACGACAATGATAAAAGTTTGGACCAAATTGGATCTTAATCTTTATTATCATCCTCAAAAAAACGATGATTCGTTGTCGTCGTTTGCTATTTGTTGCTACTAATATTATTGTTTAATGTTGCTATAACAACTACTGGTTGATGTATATTTGTAATAATCATTAATGAAACTTTAATCAGAAATATAAAGCAATCACTAATAAAACTATCTTTTAGTTTTTGCTGAATCCCATCTACATAAAATTCTTCATAACTATTAAATTACTATAGAATAATTTTTCGTGAACCTCTCTAAAACTTATTAACCAATACTCCCATAAAGTAATGACCATATGAAAGCTTAAAGTATTCTGCACCTTCTCATTTACTATCAAGTTTTTTAAAGAGATATTGAGAAATAATCTGAGCTTTGAAGTGAAAAAGCAATACCGTTTTTGAATAGCCGTGAATTCATGTATAGAAGAACTTTCAATATGAAAAGGTATTCATTAGAAAACTTTAATGGAGTACTTTCATTTTTACTCTAACAACGAAGTTCGAATTTATTATAAAATAACGAGATATTTTAAAAAAAGCTTCATGTGACACAAATTTCAAATTTATTCTCACATATATATATATAGAAATACAGATGTCACACGACTAATATAATCAGTCTCTATAAAATCGATCTATTATTATTATTGTTTCATAAAAAATGAAGAAATTTGTCATCAGAGAGAGTGCTGAACTCATTTCAGACCCTATTATGTTGGGAGGTCAAGATCAACGTATCTTTAACCATGCTGACTTGCCCGTGGTGAAAGATGAGTTGTCTGTGACATTACGACTGAAACTTCATAGTCATACTTCCGTTTCTACTATTTTTCACAAAGGTAAGTATGTTTTTTGCAAGAAGGGCATTGGTAGCAAAATTATTGGATAGATTAATTTTTTAGAATCATGTCTAACTGATGCTCTTTTGATCTCAAATAAAATACACATACATTTAGGTACTGGAGATTTAGTTCGTACTCCTGGGCTTTGGTTAGTAAGAGAGCAGCCATTATTGTATGCTCGTTTCACAGGAAACTGGAATAGTAACACAGGGATTGATAGGCTCGGCCCCGCACTTTTGTTAAACAAATGGTATCACATAACTTATACACTTTCTGATCCTGAAAAAAGATTAGATGTCTACATAGACGGTGAGTGGACCGGGTACTATAGCATCCAGCACGTTAAAACGCAAAAGGTTATCTTCAATGATGGACCGCTGTATATTGGGCGTGCTTTTCTCTGGAATGGGATTAATGGAGAAATTAGGTATTCATTTATGATAATGAAAATAAGCTAAATCACCAAAATATTAAATGATCATTTTATCAAATAGCAATTTTCGTTATTTCAACTGGCGCTTATCTGCTGAAGAATTAAAGAAAGATTTTCTCGTAAGATACTTTAGAATTTCGCATCATGAGTTTTTACAACTTGTTTGTTACGATCATTTTATTTTTTAAAATAATGAATTTCAGAAAAGGCCAATTGCAAAAGGATCAAAAATTGCTCTTGTTCATGTGCCTACTAGAAAATATTTGTCTAGTAAAGGTGTCATATACCCGACTTATAATCAATGGATGGTATTTATTATTATTTTCCCTTTATTACTATTTATACTAGGAAAACTTAACATTATAAACTTTATTTATAAAATTTACAAAGGTTGTTTGTAATGGTCAGGAAATAGATTTGAAAAATGATGTTTGGACTGTTATTGAAGCTCATGATGCAAGAGAAAGTGTAGGAGGTCTTGTGTACTTTAATACCATTATTGGATTTAAGCATCAAGCGACAGGAAACAATTTACATTCTCACATTAAACATCATGGGGTAACACCAAAATCAAAGCATCAGCAAGGTATTTTCGAGTTAATATAATGTATCTTTTGTATATTAAAGTTTACAAGAATAACAATCAAATTTTTGATATTTAGTGACCCTCTATGGGGGTGTAAATTTTGATGATGATTGGCTTATTCGACGTTATAGTCCAACCGCTTCTTATGATGACTCAGGTAGTTTAAGTCATGGCGATATCATCAGTCTTTTCCATGCCCGTGCCATGGGTGATAAACGTAAACTAGCACTATACAGTCATGACATCTTACTAGATGATGGAACCCAAGAAGTTGCTTGTTATGGAAATGGAAGTGATGAAAATAATAAGGTGCGTGTAATTTTTCAACTCGAATGTCATGAATTTGCTTGTGCATTAATGAGTATTTTTATTATTATAATGCTTTTTAGTGGCGTATTGAATTAGTTGACTGATGCGAAATTGTGATTCGTAAAGAATAATATTTCAATCAAGAAATTATGATTGCTTAACCTAATAACAACATTTCTATAAACTTTATTTAAAAATTATCGAAAATGTTGAATTTTTCTTGAACGTGAAAATTGACCGGGTAAAATTGGTCATAAAGAAATAGCACTACATATACCAATAATGTTAGAGGGATTAAATTTTTGTAGTATAAGAGGAAATCTTCACGCCGCGTGACTTCTGAGTACCAAGAAACAAAACTTATTCGTATGAGACATTAACATTTCTGTTTATCTGATGAGTGAAACTAATTCATCAATGAAAAAACTCCTATACTTATCTTTTTGTGTTGCAATACAAATATACATGTGAGGTTTGTTTGTTCCCGACCCAATAATATTTAAATAAATTGTGATTATTTACTTCTAGATAATCGCATCCTCTTGGTGGCTTTTGTCACTTATGCGTTACTATTTCCCGATTTTTGATATTGCAAATATTGCACATGATTTGTAGTAAATTTACCTCGGGTTTTGCGTCTATTGTCTTGATTTGTGTTTGCGAGACATAAATTATATGATGGGCTGTTATTAATAACTTAGAAATTAAAGAGGTTATTAACCTAGTTCTTAACTTTGAGCAAAAGGATTAAGCCTTTACTTTAATCAAAGGAATTATACAGCAGATATTATCCAAGGAACAACAACAATTTTTCAACGCTAGTTCCAGAGAATAATAGCAATCAATTTCTTGATGTATCAGAATCGTGAACAACTTTTGATCAAGATGTTCCTTGGACAGAAATAATGATTCAAATCCCTTTCGTCTTTGGAAATCAGTAAAAAAAGCAACATCAAATCTTTCAATGCTTGCAATTCGTCACCTGCAGCTTGACACAAAACGTTTCTGGTCTATTATGGCGTCAACTCATACATCAAAACGTAATTGCCTTAAAAATATTCATGCTGCAAAAATCAAATGGCACTTAATTAATACAAAATCATCAACAAATTTAACTCGAACCCCAATGCCAATTGATGCTAATATAAATCCAGTAAATGAAGTTTCACAAGGTGAAGTGGAAGAAATTTGAAGGTGAAAACATCAATGAATTAGATTAAATGACAATGAAGAAATTCAAAATAATGGAGTATTTCTGGGATTGAATTTTGATCAAATTTTTGGGTTTCAATGCCAATTTCGTTGTATAGAATTTTATTGTGATAATGACTTTTTCATTGATAATATAGAATTTGATTGTGATAATGACTTTTCATTGATAATTTACTCGTGTAATTTACCATATATAGTCATGAAATTCTGTCCATCCATTCAAAAATATAAGATGGTCGTATTACTGAAAAAATTTAAAATTTAAAATTTAAAATTTTAAAAAAAAATCATGATTAATAAAAGCTTAATATTAAATAATGTAAAAAAAAAGTTGCTATAAATTTTTTTTCCTATTGATTATGTACCAATTACTATTCTAACTGATTTTTTAATCATTAGAATAATAAACAAAATCACCAACAATATGAATTGATAATAATAGGTGCTGGTATTGTTGGTTGTTCTGCTGCTGTAGCTTTTGGTAAGCAAGGGAGAAAGGTTTTACTAATAGGTAATTATGATAGATAATAATAATAAACAATCAATGAATTGATAATTGGTGAAAGTGATAAATCATATTTATAATCAATTATGTCTAAATTATATTGTTAGAAAGAGATATGAAAGAGCCTGATCGTATTGTTGGTGAATTACTTCAACCTGGTGGTGTTGCAGCTTTAGAAAAACTTGGGTTAAGAGGTGAATGAAATATTGCATGGTTAGATATACAAAATAACCTATTTATTTGAAAAATAATTATATTGATTTTTTTGGTCTTTGATCTTTTTAAAGATTGCCTGGAGAATATTGATGCAATACCTTGTCATGGATATGGAATTTTTTATCAAGGTGATAATGTTCATGTTCCATATCCAATTCTTGGTAATGGAAAACAGGCTAGTGGCAAATCATTTCATCATGGTCGTTTCATAATGAATCTTAGAAAAGCTGCTTCTGAGACATCAAAGTATGAATGAATAATACAAACAATAATTTCTTTTTATTAATTAGGTAATTAATTAACCCACTGATCAACTATTTTTTATAGTGTTACAATTTTTGAGGGAACAGCAAATGAATTAATTCAATGTCCAATTACTGATCGTGTGTTAGGTGTTATATGCACTCAAAAAGTTCAAAATGGTGATAGTAATAATATTATTAAACAAGTAAATATATGTTATAATTTTTCTTTATTTGAGAATAATTTATTGACCAGTGATGATATTATTATTATTATTTATCAATTAGTTTTTTGCACCACTTACAATTGTTGCTGATGGATGTTTTTCTAAATTTCGTAAATATTTTGTTCCAAGAGAACCCACAGTGAAATCTAATTTTGTTGGGTAACTAATCCTTTTTTTTTTTTTTTTGTAAAAAATTCTTTTTTTATTATTATTAAAGTTTTTTAATAAATAATTTTTTCTAGATTCATAATGAAAGATGCAGAACTTCCATTTCCAAATCATGGAACTGTTTTATTGGGAAATATAGCACCAATTTTAATGTACCAAGTAAATAACAATATCTGTTTTTTTTGTACTTGAGGAGAAAATTAAAAGTAACTGGTTATTGATATAAATTTTAGATTGGAACTCATGATACACGTGTTTTAATTGATATTCCTGGAAAGTTACCAAGTAATGGTTCAGGTGAATTAAAGGTATTAATAATAATAATAATAATAATAATAATAATAATTATAATTATAATTTTTATTAATTAATTTTGTCCAATTAGAAATACATTGAAACGTTTATATTACCATCAATTCCAAAATCTATTAAGGTATTAATAATAATATTACAAATAATTACAACAAATAACAATAATAATAACCTTAATGATAATAATAGGGTTCATTCTATGAAGCTCTTCAAAAAGAACGACTTCGTTCAATGCCAAATAGTTTTTTACCACCATCTGCCAATATCAACAGTGGTTTAATAATGTTAGGTGATGCAATGAATATGAGACATCCATTAACAGGAGGTAGTATTGTCAAGAGGCAAGAATAAAATAATAATAATTCTGCAACAAAAAAATTTGATCTTTCACAAATTGTTTCACTTTAAATTATCATTTTAATCTTCTTCTAATTCAAACAAAGGTGGTATGACTGTGGGTTTTAATGATGTTGTCTTATTATCAAAACTATTATCACCAACTATTGTTCCTGACTTCAATGAAATTGGTCTAGTTTTGGCTCAAATGCAAGCATTTCATTGGGAAAGAAAATTTCATTGTAGTATGGTGATTAATGTTTTAGCACAAGCTTTATATTCATTATTTGCTGCAAATGAAGGTAATAATAATAATATAATAATCCCAATTAACAAACAATTGAATCTAATTTTTTTTATCTGTTTGTTATTGGTTCATTTCTTTTTAGATGAAAATCTTCGTATATTACGTGAAGCCTGTTTTAATTATTTTCACTTGGGTGGTATTTGTGTTGAAGGACCTTGTAGTTTACTATCTGGGTAATCATTACATTTTTTTAAATCATTATTGTTATTATTATTATTATGGCAAAATTTATATTTATTTCTTAAAACTACTTGTAAAATTCAGATTAACACCAAATCCTTTGGTTTTGATTTTTCATTTTTTTGCTGTTGCAATATTTGGAACTTGGAGAATACTTTCTAATGGTCATATAACACAATTTCCACAAAATATCATTAAAAGTATAATGGTAATATATACAGCTTGCATAGTAATTATCCCTATTTTATATACTGAAATTAGATTTTAAACAAAAAATCTTTTTTAACAAAAAACCTTACAAATTAATAATAATACAAATCATTAATAAAAATTTTATCCAATAGAATTAATTAGTCAATTTATTACTCCCTTATCTTCCTTTCAAACACATCCCAAATCTCATTAATTAATTTAGCTCATCTATAGAAGTAGAAATTTTTGTTTGTACATTAAAAATTAAAAAAATTAATTCGCCATGTTTTTATTTCTACAATAAATTTAAGATTTATTAGTTTCTTATTGACTCTCTTTATTAATAAAGTTGATAAAATATTTATATTTGAGCTTTTATCTTCCTCATAACCCTTGCCAACAAAAGATGATATTGTTGTTGATTTTCTTTTAACTAAATTGTTTGTTTTTCTTAATATTGTGATGAAGAAGTTGATGATGTTCCAATATTATTTTGTTGTTCTTGTAAATTTTCAATTTGATTATTTATTTCGACAGTAAAAGATGTCTTATTATTATTAATACCATTTGATAATAGTTCATCAAAATAATTAATCCAAGATGCTGTTGATTCAATCAATAGTGTTTCATTTCCAAAATCTTTTAATAATAGCCCATTTTTTAACATTATAAACGTTTCACCATCATTGCCATTTCTACTTCTTTCACCTAAACCAATTTCTAACCAAAAAAAAACCAGAATTTTCACTTGTTGCAAATTCTGTCCCAATAGCCAACAATTCCCAAAACATTTTAACTTTTAGCTCTGAACTTTTTTTCATTCTTGTCATTCTTTTTATTTATCCATCTTGATTTTGGATCTTCTTCAAATATTGGAATAACATCAATTGCATTTTCATTATCAGAATATGGATAATCATATCTAAAAACTGTCATCATCATCCCTACTATTATTATTGGCATCTTTGATAAGTAGTCTAGCTTCTCTTTTTGATAAAACACCAGGTATAAAAAACCAATTATTTACATTATCAACTTTTATTTGTTGCTGGCTTAAACTGTTTTTGTTCAATACTTTAAAGGTATTTTTCCACCATCTCAACAAATCAGTATCATTCAGTATAAATTTATTCGGATTTTCTAATGAATTGTGAAAAAGATATCAAGGTTGCGAGATTGATTTAAATGATTTTTTGTTGTGAATTGATTACACAATATTTCAAATATGCAATAATCAAATTTTGAGGAAGGGTGGGAGTGTGAGTGGGAGGAAGAGGAAGAAGAAGAAGAAGGGTAAGGATGTGAATCAGTTGTATCAACTTTTGATATATAAATTGTCATCGAATCTTTATCCAAGTTATAATATTCACACACTTCCATACCATTAACAAAAACTTTTTTTCCTGTACTTGCAATTTTTTCTGCAACCAGCATTGATAATTTTTTATGAAATTGGCTTGTCGTTATCTTACTTTTATCATCACCGTCATTGTCATTGTTAGTATTTGTTGTCATTTTATTCTTGATTTTCACTGTTGCTGCTGATTGTTTTTTACTTTTATTGTTAAAATTGCTTTGCTAGACAAAACGAAAATAATATATATATATATGTGAACCATGTATTGTTTGCTTTAAACTACTGGCAATATATTCAATAAGAGATTGTTGTTGTTGTTGTTGTTGTTGAATATTACTATTATTATCCATTTTTTGAATGCTATACTGGTTTTTTTGTGTCAGCTGGCTGGTACAGCTTTACTAACTGAATTCAAAAAATCAAATATTTTAAATTAAACAAGGAAAAAATGGACTCTCAATCTGAAGGTTCACTATATTAAAAGATTTTGTTGGTATTAGGTATTGTTGTATGTGAAATTGAAATATTGAGTGGGATTGGCTAATTTGAATTTCATTTTCACGTATATACAACAGTAGTATCAAATAATTTTTATTAAAATTAAAATTAATATTCGAATATCTGCAGCACCCGTAATACTCGTAAAATTGCCTCAATAAAATGTCTTCAGTAAATGAAGAAGAAGAAACAAATTCTAATTTTTCGTTAGTGCCCATTTTACCAATGATGGATTATGTAGACCACCAAATAAACAAAAATACAAAACTTTGACGAAACATGGGAGTCATATACATCTGTTCCCGCAGAACGGTTATTTACTGATGCTGGAAACCGTATTACACCAAAGCAAAAAAAGAAATATGAAGTATAATATTTTTGACTTTTAAAAATTTGAAATATTTCAATGAAGTTTTTTGTCCATGAGGTTTTTCTGCTTCATGAACTATTTGAGAATTCAGGTTTTTTCCAGTATTCTTTTGAAGGTTATTCAGCAAAATGAAATATTGTTCTTTGTATGAAATGAAACGAGCGTAAATATAATGGGTGCTGTATTTTATTGTAAATTTATCCTCAAAGAATTTACCAACAAGTTGTTTTACAACTTCCTTTATAATAAAAAAAAAGTTTCAAAATTATGTTTTTCCAGATTCTTTAAAGAATTTTTCTTTGTCAGGGGGTTTTCGGATGTTGATAAATAACAGTCTCCACTCCATATCCAAACATCTCTGAAGATTTTTAGCCCGGAATTTTGGTAAGTCCCAGTGAAGTCATCTCCAAGGTAATCCATAATGTTTGTTATTCTAAAACTTTTGTAAATAAATATTAGTATAGAGATGTTAATCGATTAAAAGTGATAAAAATAAAAATCAAGTGTTCGCATAAGCATAATTAATAATAATTATTAACATCATTAATAATAATAATAATAATTCAATACTATTATCACCATTAACATCATCCACGTCTTCATATCTAAACCCACCATCACCACAACAACAATCTGTCCCTCATCTTCATCTACATACTATTACCTTCCTCATATATATATATCCATCATACTTTCATTAATATGGCTTATATTATGAATACCAATGCTATTGAACGAGATAATATATAGAAATTACAATGCTGATGATGACATTTATTACGATGTTAATTATAATGATGATGATGATGAAGATGAGGAAAATGGTGATATTGGTGGAAGGAGTGAAGATATCATAAGTGTTAATAGTAACGTTATAGCAGATTGTAAAATAACAAAAAATGCGGGAGATAAAGTAATTAAAAAAATCAAAAAAAAAAAAAAATACAAAAGAAGCTATGTTATAAAGGGATTCCCGATGATATTGATCCAATTAATGTAAAATGTGAAGTGGTTGTGAATATATCATAAATCTTTGCTCCACAACTTAATCACGCCAGCTCTCACAACATTGTCTCATTATGAAAAAACATAGCTCTTTAAATTCTTATATTTCATTGTTGGCACTGCACAGCTATTCCAAGTAGTTGATGATGAAAGTTTTGTTATAAAACTTGTGATTATATGATAAATCACTGTGTTAAATCCACAATCAAGATAATTTTTTTGCCCTCTTTGTTCATTATCAAATGCAAGGAACAAAGTCCATTATGCAAAGGTTCTTCTTCTTCTGTCAATCCTTCTAACCAAGTTCATATAATAACTCCCTGCGATTGTTATATGGTTATTTATGCTAATGACTCTTTTGAACTTACCATGGAATATTTTACAGCTGATGCTGCAAGATTAATTTCTGATAACATATTTACTATGACATGAACCATATATTGCATCAACTGCAACAGCTCTCTTGAAGAATTTTTCTTGGCTTAATTTATCAGAATAGTAAGTATTTATATTCTGAGTTAGAGTTTCAATGAACTTTACAATAATTGGTTACATCCATTTAACCAAGTTTTGGGAGTATAATTCATAATATTTTCTAATGAAAACCTATTATCATTTTTAATTAATGATTTGATATCATCATACAGAGAATCACATTCAGCAAGTGCAATTTTTATAATAGAATTTATACATTTTGGCTGATTGCTAAAACCAAATTCCATTGCTCAACAAGAACTTTGTTTTTTCCATTGCTTCAGTTAATTGACCATAAGAATCAACTAATTTCCTTTTTAAATCTTTTATTTCGTGGGGTTGAGTTCCAAGTTGATGTGACAATTGTTCAATATGTAAATTCCACTGCTCATAAGGAACTTTGTTTCGATCCTGTGCTTCAATTAATTCTTTTTTAAATCTTTTATTTCATGATTTTGATCTTCTAATTGATGCGATAGTTGTGTGATTTCATTATTAAGTTCTACAATAAGTTGTGATTTGTTCTAACATTCCAGTTCATGTAACTTCAACAAATTTTTTATTCTTTGAAATTCTTCTATAGGAGCAGGTTCATTGTTGGCAAATTCTGCTTCAGTAAACTGAATAGTTGTGTCAGTATTAATGCTAGAAATACTAGAATGTGCCTCTAATATATTGTTCCCATGTGACCTTTTTTTTCTTACAACAGGATTGTCAATTTTGCCTGCATTTAAATTTGAGAGCTTCATAAAATCTATTAGTAGATATAACTTGGTTATAATGTATCTCACAAACAGAATAAGAATTTAAAGAAACATGAAGGAGCTCAGGGATATAGTCATGACAGGCTTGTAGTATTTTAGCTGCTGCTTTACTACTAGCATAATGCCATGTTTGATTGTTCTTTGTAGCACATGGTTTCAAGCCCTTATCTATATATAGTTAGCAAAAATACATGGAAGATATTTGGCTTGTGTCTTTTGGCATTCTGGCACTAATAATAAAATTATTATCATTATATTAAAAAAAATTATTAATTTTCCGCAAATCAACATAAAAAATATGCAATTTTTCAATTATTTAGCTCTCATTTACTGGGTGATCATTAAAATATGAATATTTGTATTTTTTGATACTAATACAACAAATTTTTTTTGTGTAAGGTCACATGGAATAATGGAATACGAAGTGAAGAAATGGAAATATAATGTAGGAATGAGCCTACTAAAATCGTGTTTATCATTCTATTCGATTTCCAAATTTGGTAAAGACACTGAGTGAACTACATATACCCAGCTTTTTTAAAAATGATAAGTCAGACGCAAGCGATCGCGTAAAAGGATTTCAATCTAAAAATAATCTCACTTTCAGTAATTGGTTACATATAATAAAATTTTATTATAAAAATGTCATGTCGAAATTTTTTTTTTTGAAAATCTTTTTTTGCTTATTTATTTATTTCCCTAAAATACACAGAATTTTCAGAAATAAAAAATCAATTTTTTTAAGAAAAATTTAAAATGTCTACTCATCAACAAACTCAACAACAGCAAACCCATTTTAATAATTGCCAACAAAGTTCCGAAATTCATTACAGCTCCAACCACCATCCATTTGAAACAAATAATCTACCATTTTTAAACGGCGATTATATTGATGTTAGTAATAATAACATAATGACATCGTCACAACAGCCTTTATTATTCTCGTCGTCCCAACAACTACAACAACCATTACAGCAACCTCTATCATACTCACCTCGATTACAACAGCCACCGCAACAATCTTCTTCATTCTTGCCACCCCAACAACAACAATTTTTATACGTTAATAACAATAACAACAGTAATAATAATGGTAGCCCCAGTTTAAATCCCACTCTTAATTTTAACGCTAATTTAACCAACATTAATAATATTCCTTTGTCGAATTCTATCAATGACGGCATCAAATATGACAATAATTCTTTAATTCTTTCTATTTCTCATCGAATGTCTCTTATTAAGGATTATAGTATGAAAATAAATCAATGTCATTTTGAAATGGAACAAATCATTAATTATTTGAAAAACCAAAATCAGTAAAAATAAAACTTTTTTTTTACTCTATTATAATTAGTATTTTTATCTGTATCTTTTTTTTCTATTTTATTTTTTATTATATTTATTATTAACATTTATTATCTGTATCTTTTTTTTCTATTTTATTTTTTATTATATTTATTATTAACATTTATTATATGTATCTTTTTTTTTCTATTTTATTTTTTATTATATTTATTATTAACATTTATTATCGTATCTTTTTTTTCTATTTTATTTTTTATTATATTTATTATTAACATTTATTGTATGTATCTTTTTTTTCTATCTTATTTTTTATTATATTTATTATTAACATTTATTATATGTATCTTTTTTCCTATTTTATTTTTTATTATATTTATTATTAACATTTATTATATGTATCTTTTTTTTCTATTTTATAAACTTTCGACTGCTGTAAAGATTTCTCTTATTATTATGTCTATTGTGGTAAAAAATGTTTAGACGAGTTGGCCACAGTGAATAACTTTCGCTTAAAAAAACAATATGTCAAGATTTGATTAAATTACATGTAACTAAAAAACAAATAAATATGATATATACAGTATATTATTACTGTTATCTCTATCCAAATTGCCTTTATTTGAATGCAAACTTCATTAGGTCTGTAAATGGTTAATTGATAATTTGGGAAAAGGGTTCGCAAACATTATTTTCGAGAGAAAAAAGACAATCCTTAATAGATCCTTCAAGAAACAGTAAAGTACAATTTTTTTTTGAAATTAGAGAACTGTTTTTATTTACATTATTAATTAAACATCCAATGTTTAAATATAGATAATTTATTAACAGAAAAGAAAATACATTTATTACCATAGATATATTTACAATGGAACTTTTAATATAGATAATCTGGATGGCAACAAAATTTTTGAACTTTTTGAAACATGTAACGAATTAAATTTTATAGGTTCAACAGAATTTAATTCATCTTCATAGAATTTCATCACATCATCAACCATTTAACTTGTTTCAGCAGATTTTTTTTTTAAATCTAATGACATGTTAGAAAGAGATGACTTAGAATTGGGTGAAATTGATATTTGAGATATTGTCATTCAACGAGGAAAAAATCAAATGAAAAATTAGACAAAAACATTTCAGATGTGGAAACACAATATTGATTACAAAATACTACTCGGGATTCAATTTTCGTAGTAATAGTAAATTAAACAAATATAATGTTTAATCATTCAACATCTATCTTCTTCCATATGATTATTTGAAAATGTTCCAGCTTAATTGATTCCTGTTGAATGCATCATAATCATCCATAAAAAAAGAGCATTGATAAACTACTTGAAACAAAAATTTCACAAATATTATAAATCTTCGTTTCCTTACTATATTAATTTTTTGTTTTAAGATTTACTTTATTTGCGTTAGAAACAACGTAAGAAAGTACCACCTGTGTTTGATGAACATAGACATCACCAATTCATTTTTTACATAAAAAAATTGCAATGATATTTAACGAAATAAAAAAATTGATCATCTTTACAAACGAAATTGTTTATTGGATTATTATCAACCCTGTAAAACCAGCCAACCAAAAAAAATTAATTAATAGAACCTAGAAACAACATAAACCAAGTAAACCAACTGGTAATCAAAAATGCCCAAGGGAAATTGAAAAATTGTAGGAGAATTTCAAACAATCGTTTGATAAAAATATCGAGTTGAATGCAACTTTTCATTTGGCGTGAAATCCACAAATTGTATGGTGGAAAAGGGGAGGGAATTGTTGCCTCCACTGCAAAAAATTTCTAACAAAAAATGAATCTTAGAGAGAAGACGATAAATAGAAGCAAGCTAGGAATGGATTAATAAAGAAAAAAAAATATAGAGATGATAATGGGAGTGATATAATATTGGCAATTGGTAAAGATATAGAATAGATTTTGCCAGGGTGCCCTGAAAATAGGTAATACTCATCAATGGTTTTGAATCCAAGTATTTTCATCTTATACAAGTGTTCTGACAATTTTTTTATCTTATAACTTTTTTTAATATTTAATATTTAATATTTAATATTTAATATTTAATATTTATATATATAAATTTATCTTTTTGTCGTTATGTAATTCTTTCCTTGAATGTGATTGCTTTCGTATCCACTGTTATTACATTATTCATGACGATTATGCAATGTATTTGATGTTATTATTAATTACATTATCCAAGTAATAGTAATACAGTCAAAAAAACCTACGGGAGTACATAAGAAAATTCCAAAATTACTAATCGCGTTTCAACGAATTTATATGTGAAGCAAAAATTTAAAATTTCATTCTAATGCGAATTATAATCTGTCTGTTAAAACAAGTTTCATTTAAACGAGATTTGAGTGTACTAACATGCAGATTTAAGCAAGCAATTTCGTAAATAACCATTTTTTACTATACAAATTATACAATTACAAGTTGTAGAGTTCTTTAAAAATCATTCCAAAAAAATAAAACGAATAGATCTAATATTAATAATAAGTGTTGGTTTAATAAGGTTCTCCTTTTACAAGCATGTAATCTCGTACTTTTGCCACATCATATTTATAGAATTTTCCACAGGTAAAGCCAGTCAGTCACATGTTGATAAGCTGCATACAAATCTAAAACTAGCACACCTCCTGTTTGGATTGGTCGATTTAAAGTCATATCAGTTTAGACATCTTCCGTTTCTTTGATCATGTCATCGCTAAAGGCATCATTTAATTCCAAATTAAGTTCAGATCTGGAGGAAATGAGATTCAATTGAACATTATTTTGAAGAAATATATATTTATTTATTTATTTATTTAACATCAATCTAAAGTTTCCGCCCTCCATCACTTGGAATAATTTTTTTTTTTAATCTTCTACTATCTTTTCAGGTATCATAATAAGAATTAGTTTCCAAAAGACTTGCTAATACTGAAATGAATCCTTTGATTTTTATAAGCCTTGTTCCAACGAGTTATAACATCTGATAAATCGTAAATTAATAAAATATTTATATAATAATAAAAACATTTATTTATTTAAAAGCATTAAAAAAATTATTATTACATCAGAATGTCTATTAATTTGTATTTGAATACGTTAACACCGCTTAAGACAGAGTAAAATCAATTAACCCTTTTGTTCTTTTCACTAAAGGTTTATTACTGATTGAAGAGTGTGCGCAGAACAAGGTTTCCGGAATATTAACATAAATCAATGTTTTAGTTTTTCATAGATTGCATAACCAAGTGGGCAATTTATGATATTTTAGCACGTGCATGATAATTATACGTTTCAAATTTGGAAAATCTTGTATATATATAAAAACATCAAGACTTTTAAAAGTCAATTTGATTGGTTATTGTAACTTGCAATATACGAGTAATAATGTAAAGATTTACTTCTTTGATTATTGCTTTTGTAAAGTTTCTGATATGGCTTGGATGAAGCGAAAAATGTTAGGATCAGAAATATTTTCAAACTTGAATCATTTGTTGATGATCCAATCGTATTTGACGATGAGGAATATTTGTAGTATACAGCATTGATGGATGTAAAGAATAATTATTAATGTTATTGCGGACCACCGCCATTTATTCAACATAATGATATTTATAAGCTATTTATTACATTTACTTGTACAATTCCTAGTAATAATTTAATAATCGTTTCAAATTAAATTTCACTCGGATTATTTTGGATGGCACCATCAAAACGTTCAAGATTTGTTTTTTTTAATAACATCAATTAAAGCCTTTTAAAAATCATCAGCCAATCAAGGTTAATCGTCCAAAAATTTCAATTATGGAGTTTCCCAAAAGGTAAATTTTTGCCTTTATTAAGACTTAAAAAGCACTATGGCGCAATTATAGAGAAATGCGATAAATGTGATATTACTATTTTTATATACTTGAAGAATGATAATATTTTTTAATAACGTTTTATTTAAATTATTGAAAGCATTTATAGTAAAATAATGATATTATAAATATAAAAAAATATATTATTAGTTATTAATTAATTAATTGTATTACAATTCCTTGCAAATATTATAATAAAGTATAAATAAAATTTTCAATGTCAATTTTTTTCACATTATTCTGCTGTTTCATTAACTCCTTTCGTTCTTTTAAAGAATAGCAGCAAATAATGCTGCAACACCACAAATTGCACCAACACCAGCATTAGATTTCACATAAGAAGCAGCATTTGTAGGAGTGACACCAGGAGTTGTTGTGGTTATTGTTACTGATGGACTTGTGACAGTAGTTGAAGCTGTAACAGTTGAAGTTGGAGCAGTCACGGTAGCTGTGAGTGTCGGCACAACCGTAGAAGTTTCAGTTGTGGTTGAAATTAGATTGATGGATGAAGCTAGATTGATAGTCAAAAAAAAAATTATTATTATTATTATGCAAATATTCCAAATATTTTTTAACAATATCCTTTGAATATTTTAATATCACAAATATTTAATAAATACATTCATGTTGTCCGTGAGATATTGGGACATAAATCGATAAAATAACGAAAATAACAAAAAATAAGACGATTTTATTGTTGAAAGAATTCATTTTTTTTTTTAATATTTGTTATTTTTTTTAAAAAATATTGATTGAATTTATTTTTTTTTTTTTGATTTATTTGCGAGATTTTTTTTTTTACAAAAAAAAAAGATCAATTTATATTTTTTAAAAAATTTTTAAGGATTACAAATTCAAATAAATAAAGATTAACTAATTTTTTTTTTTTCGTGGGCAGCCTTTTAAGTGATGATGACGCTATAATTGAACATTTTTGGAGTGGAAAATAAATTAAAAACATTAAATCATAATGATACAAATAATATATCAATACTCATCAAACAATAAGGAAATATATATGGATTATTTAATATAATATCGTATCGATCTTTTTATTTAAATAGTGTTATGCGTTAGTACTTGTTAGAATGACGAAACTATTACATAATATGTATCAAATCCAGTCAAAGGATTGACTTAAATATTAACTAAATTTACATTCAAGCAATTATGGCGATCGACATAAGATATTAAGTATTTTTTATTTTTCACGCCACACATAATTTTCACACGTACAAATGAACAATCTTCGTCGTCAAAGAAAGCCAACGGTCGGTGACCTGTTTTGTGGTGCTGGTGGTTTATCATTAGGAGCTGCGTATGCAGGATTTAATGTGAAATGGGCGGTTGATAAAGATTTGGACTCGACTGTAACATTCCATCGTAATCATCCAAACACCATATGTTATAATATGGATGTTTCAGAATTTATTTTCGACAATATGGAACTTCCAAGACATAGTGTTGACGTATTACTTGCTGCACCACCATGCCAAGGATTTTCCTTTGCAAACACCAGAGGTAATTCAATTGACATGGGCGAATTGAATATCTTAACATTGAATGTGCCTGAAGCAATTGTGAAATTACGTCCAAAAGTTTTGGTATTCGAGAATGTTAAGGGTTTTTATTACCGAGGAGGAGAAAGTGATACAATGCTTAAATTATTTTTAAATAGTTTAAGAGACGTTGGGTAAAACAATTAAAATATTTTTTTTTTGGTGCCACAAAAGAATTTTCTATTTTCTAAACTTCTCTTTTTTTCCTCCAGATATAAATATGATTCAAGAATATTAATGTCAGCAACTTATGGTGTTCCCCAGAAACGGGAACGATTTATTTTGTATGCAGTACCTGATGACAAACAGTTACCTCAGTGGCCTAAAGAGACACATTTTATTGTGGAGGAAACACCAATTGAATATCGTGATTTATACACACTGGGCGGCATAATACCAACACCAACTGTTGACGAGGCATTCAGAGGTATAAATATATGTGCGTGCGTGTGTGAAAATAAATTGAATGAATAAATAAATGAATGAAACTTTTCTAATTAAGGCTTAACCGCAACGATCCCAAACATGAATTATCATCGTTCAAATCCGGGACATCTTAAAAGATTGAGAAACGACCGTGTTTCTAATACAGTGTTGTGTTCAATTGGATCAGGATGGAATAACATTCATCCAACCGAATATCGATACATCAGTGTACGAGAACAAGCAAGATTGCAAACATTTCCTGATGATTTTATTTTCTACGGAACATTGCGTTCTCAATATAGACAAGGTTATTATTATTATTAACAAAATTTGAAAATTATCATTATTTATCATATAATCAATTAATCAATATGTTTTTTTTAGTTGGAAATGCGGTGCCTCCTTTGCTTTCTAAAGTTATTATGCAAGAAGTAAAAAAGATTTTATAAATTGATCAAGGGATGGATGATTATTACCAGCTCGCAATATTTATCTCTCACTAACTCTCACGTACGTGAAAACATTTAACGATCCAATATATTTTTTCACACAAACACACTTTTGGTTATTCTAGAACAATATTTTAATGAACGTGTGTTTACGTAACAATCAAATAAATTTTTTTTCGGATATTCTACTAAATCTAATAATGTTGATAATTTTCTGCAGAATCTTGTTAAAATAGAAAAAGAATTTTTTCTTTTGCCTTGCTTTGTTTTTGGGTAAACTAATTTCTCTTATGTTTTAACCAACCTAAAATCAGTCAGCAAAAACCAAGAAACATTCAAATAAAAGGCATTCTTTTTCTCTTTTTCTAATTAAGCAAACTCATGTCCGAACAACTTGCTTCTAATATCTTCTGTCTTTTCTCTTGTACACTCTCCGAGTAATAAAGTTTTTCGTTCTTGCTCTTCAAATCATAATTTCTTTTTTTAGGAAGATTTGTGCCTTGCCGCAATTAATTCTTTTATCTTATCTAAAACTAGTTTTCGTCCATATTCTCTCTCCGCTGGCTAAACAAAGTTTTAATTCTTTGACTTGGGCTAATTCTTGCTGCGGTTGGTATTTTCTTTTATTATAAAAAAGAACTAAAATTCCGCATCCAAAACCAGAAGAAATAGTAAATTAATTAATATTTATTTACCTTGAATAAAATCTCGATTATGGAAATCTTTTTTGTAGCAAAGCTTCTTGTAGACAAAATATCTGATAATCTGATCGTGAAAGGCGATTAATAATTGCTTCTGTATGGTATGAACGTTTTCTGGAAATAAATAATAAAGAAATTCCAGCAATCAAAGAACTCCAAGAATACTCATTATTATCAAAATAAAAATTTGCTTAATTAACTGATTGTCGAAACAAAGTTATTTTACATACCATCAAGCATTACTGCGAGATTTTTACAGTTTCACTAACATATAATCATTAAATCTTGAATTGCTTGATTTATCCATCCCATCAACATATAATTTATTATTATTATACTTTTTCTTTTGGGAAATGTTTGTTTTTCCGTGAATACCATTCACAATTATTATTCTTCCTTGGTTTATAGTAATTAAAGTTTTTATTATTCTTGCTTTTTATTATTATTATTATTATTAACAGTAACATAGGTTTCCATTAATTTTGTTGGCGTTTACTAACCTTATTATTGCTATATTAATGTCATTATCATTATCAACGTTATTATTTTCTACATGAAGTTTTTTATTTGATCTATCTGTCATTTTAAGTTGAGAAAAATGCTCATTCTTAATACTTACCTTATTACTCACTCTGCATAAGATTGGTACTATAAAAATTTCGTCGCTATTCTGAAACTCATCATCAAAGGATATCTGCTATGGAGCATTTATAAACCGATTAATTAACTGTCAGGTAATTAAATTTCGATAAAACCACATACACCACAACATTGGGGTATCCTGCATCATATGATTACACAGTATGACAGATCGTCATTGTCTCAATCTATATAGTAAAAACACAAAATTTGAATGGTTATAACTCTTTAAAGAATAGAGATACAAGCCCCAAGTTAAATTTAAAATATACTAGAGAAATAGAGCTATAGTCTTTTTTTTTTATTTTAATATAAACAATGGCACTTATTTTAAGCTAGAAAAAGAAAAGAAAAAGTTGTGTATATGTTACAAAATTTATGAAAGTAAAAATCTAAAAATCTCTATAGATTTACTGTCCCATTTCATTTCTCTGGTATATTTGAAACTTAACTTGGGGCCTGTACCTCTATTCTTCAAAGAGTTTATAACCCATTCAAAGTTTTGTGAAAAAATGATCGGTAAAAAATTGCCATATATGTGATCGATTGTTGTAAACAAGAATGGTTGACGAAATACTTTTTACATGGCGAGGAATTATTTCGTCAACCGTTGTTAATTTCGTCACATTTAACGAAATGTGACACAAATGACGACATGTGACACAAATGACGAAATTGACAAAATTGATAATCAATGATGTGTACCAAAAATTATTTTTTTAATCTGTTCACTTACAAGGAACCTTTGTCATTATGTCACAGCAGATGAGATCAACCCAAGCAGGACAACCTCATTCTGAAATTTGGAAACATTTCTCAAAAATTCAAATAAAAAAAATCTAAAGGCCATTACAGTGCAAAATGTAATTATTGTACTAAATCATATAACCACAAAAATTATTAGCACATTTAGCAAACCATTGTATAGTTGTGATTCTCAAACCAGAAAAAAATGTCTTGAAGAATTATATAATAAAACAAAAGCAAATGTTCAAAAAATCTTAATGTTAGTGGACAAACTAATATTTCTTCATTCTATGAAAGTACAGCTTTAACAACAAAAAGAATGTGAAACAAATCTTTAATCGAAGCATTTGTCTGCTGCAATATTCCTTTTTATGTAATTGAGCATCCCTATTTCATTGATTTTTTAAAACAATTATGACCAGCATACCAGCCTCCATCAAGGAAACTATTATCACAAGGATTGTTAGATATAGAAATTGGGAATGTTGATCAAAAAATAAATTCAATATTAGAAAAACTTTATCATAATTTATTTTGAATTATTTTAGTTGAAATATGGTAGAAATTTTTATATATGATAAATATTTTTTAGCACTTGATGGTTGGTCATTTCCTAGAAACACTTCAGTTTGGAATTTTATTATTCACACACCTACAAAAAACAATTTTATATCAATTGAAAGATTTTTCTTCAGGAAACCATACAGCCAACTATATTGCCAATCAAATTGAAGACATAATTAATAAAATTGGATCAAATGAATTTTCTGCTTTGTCAGTGATGTTGCTGCAACTTTACAGGAGGCAAGAAAAATAATATCATAAAACATAAATTTGCAAAGCAATTATTATTAGATTGTAATTCAATTATCAAATACTTCAAAAAATCACATTGTGCTTTGATCTCTTCTCAATGAAGCTATTGGTAGATATAGTATAAAAGGTTGTGGTTCTTTAAAAAATTATAGCAGAATTTGTTGGACCTCTGCATATGAAACTGTGGACTCAATGATTAGACTCCAGCCTTGTTTTGGCCTAGTAATATTAAAAATTGATGCATAATAGCTAAAAATATTTATAATTATTGTTATTAACATTTATTAAATAATATTTACCAATAAAGCTAACCAAATTTTTCAAAATAAATTTAAGAGAAAATAATAGCTCAATATCTCCAAAAATAAAATCTACCCTTTGTAAAAAAAGGTTTTATAGTGATTTACAAGACTTGGCTTGTGTATTGAAGTCAATTAAGGATTCAATTATTATTCTTGAATCAAATCTTGCACATTGGCAGACTGTTACCAAAGTTTAGTCAAATTAGCAATTTAAATTAATTATATGCCTAATCAATACAATTGAAAATTTCATAATTATTGTATTTATAAGTTCAATAAATGTTGGACAGAATTTGAATATGATGAATTTCTTTTGGAATTTTTTGCACCCAAATTTTAAAGGTAATTCAATAATTGAATTCATTTTTTTTTTTGTTCTGGTTTGAACCTCAGTCTTATTTTTTAAAAAAGACCATTAGCTGAACCATTTATGAAAAAACTGAAACAGTTCAAAGATGAACTGTCAGTCCACTGGTCCTTTATCATCCCTAGATAATATACATTCCTAATATTCTATCACCATGAAAATTATTTTTGAAACATTTTTGTACAATGTCAACAATTAATTAATGAATGAAATGATAATTGAAATTTAATTGCTTTCTTTTATCAAAATAGTACCTATAAAATCACAATTTTTTTTTTTTTCATACATTCCAAATCATTATAAATGAGAAAATAATTAGAAACGGAAATTTATCACCTCAAATCAATTATCCACTTCAGGAATGCACATTAACATTGATATGGGCGGATTCTTACACCCTATATCATTTTCAATAAAAAAAATTTTTTTAACAAAATTTAATAACCAAAGAATACTTGTGTTTCATTTTCATTAAAAAAAATGGATGTTTTTTTATGTTACATAACTTTTAAATATATCATGAAAATATGTATTGTAAATATATTTCTTTTTCCAATTTCATCCAGTAAAAATAAATAGCAGGCTCTGATATTGTTTAGAGCCAAGTAAAAAAGAATATAAATGAATGATTAAATGCTTATTTAATATACAGCATTTTGAAAAATGTGTTTTTATTATATCCGTTACACTATTGGCAATTTTTGATGGTGACGTTTTCATCAATGGTGTTTGTTACCTTCAAAATCTCTCGTACCGATAAACTAGATATATTATACTATTCCATACTCAAAGTTGGAAATAATGTCTCTCTTTTTCACTGACTAGTAGCATTTTGAAAATATGATTTTATTTATTATTTTCTTTGCGTTGTCGATCATTAAAAAAAAAAAATCATAAACACTATGAGATTACTTAATTAGACTGTAACACCCCCCAGACTAAAGATGTTAGCCGAAATGGTTTTTGAAAAAATCAATTTCGGCAGGCAATTTCGGATTCACAATATTTTCATAATGATGGACATAAAAAAACTACCCAAAATTTTGGCTATTGAGTTAAAGTGTTCAAATAATTTTGAGTATAATTTCGGCAATTAATAAAGTTAATTTCGGCAAC